TGTTGTATACCTGTTGTTTCATGGCTCTAACTTCCTTGGTTTCATATTTTATTTGTATTCATGTCATACTTTTCAGACTAAACTTTTATTCAATGCAAATAACAACTGTTTATCTAAAGCATTGGGTCTGAATCCACCAGATCCCAATTAAAGGGCATTAGAGATGAAAGCTATCTGATCCCATGTCAGCGGCAGTGACGTTTAAGATGTTTGTCAAAGCTGGATTAGGAGCCGTGATCTGTTCTGCTCTAAATTTATCAGAAGAGTAAAAATACAACGCAGCAGGAACAAAAGCTGCAATGAGAACATCTCATCAGTGAGTTTATGTTGAGCACCGTGTGTCCCAGGAACCAGTGGTGGAATATTAAGTGCATTTACTCAAGCACTTAACTGAAGTACAATCCTCAAGCACTTCTGCCTCACTTGAGTACGTCCATTTAATTCTATATTTCATTTAAATAGATTGTCATAGTCCTTCACTGAGCAGACAGCTGTGATTAATAATGTATTCAAAAACGAAAAAGTCAGTGAGTCTCTAACATGTTAATGATGTTTCCTATTTTCACAGAAAGTTGTGATGCTGGGCCTTCAGAAGACGCCCCTCACTGTGGCTTTGTGCCTGCTGCTTTTTGCCACACTTCTACCCAGCTCAGAGGCCCGTCGTGGAGGAGGTGGCTTTGGCCGAGGTGGCTTTGGCGGAGGTAGAGGAGGCTCCAGCCGGGGCTGGGGCGGTGGTGGCGGCGGCCATGCCTACAGACCCGTGCAGAGCAGTGGTCCCAGTGCAGGGAAAGTAGCCGGGGCGGCTGCAGTAGGTGCCCTTGGAGGATCAATGCTGGGATCTGCTTTGAGCCGCCCTGGGTACGGGTATGGAGGAGGGTATGGAGGAGGATATGGAGGAGGATATGGTGGATATGGAGGAGGGTATGGAGGAGGGTTTGGATACCCACGATACGGAGGTGGTGGTGGCTCCAGGTCTGGCTATGATTCTGAGGGCTCTGGAGATATGGAGTACTACGTTGGAGCATCTAGTGGCCCCATCTACAACAGCATCATCGTTGTGATTGGCTCCCTGACGTCCCTGCTGATGGGCCACTGGGTGGCAGTCATGTAGAGATGGCGACAGCAGGTTTCACAAAACAGACCCTGGAACCCCTGAGCAAAAATAACCCATGACCTGACAGTGAGACAGTTTAAAGCTAAATATGACCCGAGAGTCTGCGGCCAGCTGGTTTCACTGAGTCTTCACTGACCCTCCACACAGACGAGAAGAGGAGTTCGACTCATTTATCCTCCAGTCACTGATGAACTCAGAAACCACTTCCTGTAGATATTTGTCAGAGTTGTGAGGTAATTTAACTCAATGAATAACTGAATTCAATCCCACACTCCTGTTTCTCCTTTTAATGTGTCCAGTGTTTTTATACTTTTGATGATTGCAGTAATGATCATGATGATTTTAGTGATGACAGTATAACACATTGTTTATAAACAAACTTTGGAACAGGAATAGATTAGTTGTGTAATCTGGTTTAATCTACCTCAGGACCAGAGTTTAAGAGCAGCTGTAAACTTCATATGATGACACCATCTCAGTCTATTTCATAATAACAGAATAATTGTCATTTTCAGATCATTTGCATATTTACAGTATATTTGACCTAATTAAATATGTGTTTTATGCCAATTTGTAGATTTTTATGTAAAAGACAGAAATTTCCCATGTTTAACTGTTGTAAAAGTAAAAAAAACTTAGAAAAAACATTTCTGTTGATTTTTTGTGTGTGTGTGTCTATTGTGATGAGACGAGAACACGTGTTAATATGAATGATCTACTGGGAACGCACATTAAGATCCCGATGATTTGCCTCCACAGTGGAGCTTGTTTTCACTCCTGTCCCCTTGTTTGTTTGTTTTTCAGAAGGATTATGTAAAAACTACTGAACAGATTTCCATGAAACTTGCTGGAAAGACGAGTAGAGAAAACAAAACATTCCACTTTGGGGCAGATCCGGAATATTTTGAGTTTTACATTTTCCCATACTCTCAATGGAAGAATTCATGGATCTAATGAATCAAGCATGATAAGGGAACTAATATTGAATGTGTGAAATTTGGTTCCCCCTTGAATTAATTTAATGGGACTAATGGCCTTTGGCAGAAGTATATGCCATTTTACTTGGGTTTTTTAAGGGTGAGGGGGTTTGCTGCATGACTCAGCCATAACAGTCTAATTTTAACAGTCTGCAGACTTAACATCATGTGCTCAGAGTTTCTTTCTTGTCACGCCTCTAAAACACAGTGGTAATCATCTCAGAGTCTGATATTGATGGTCACACTTCCATATCTCAGACCTGAAACACAAAGAGGCATTGACACAGCCCTCATGTACTTCTTTATTCTAAGATGTTGCCACAACAGACTCGACCTATGACTCTGTGAAAGTTCACATGTAACCCAGAGCTGTTGTCTGTGTCAAATAAAGTCAGACTCTCCTGATGTTTTTGGAAACTAGAACTCTTTCATATTTTGCCAAAGGGGAAGAATGAAAACTGCAGGTTGCAGAGGTGTAAATAAGATCAGAACAATTCTAATAGTACTTAAGGTACATGAGTATTTACATCCTCTGCTATTTTATACACTTTATTTGCCACTTTACATCCCTACCTGTGTGTTTTACAACAAATTACTGAGGTGCAAGCAAATGTTTTGTAAACCAACATTAAAGTTAAAGAGGATTTCCTCTTGTAAGTGCTCAAAATCAATAACTATGAACTTGTTATGCCACTATCACAAGGAAACAAGGTCATTTACATGATTTTAGGATAACAGGATAAGATGAAAAACATTGTCATGGGTCAATATAATTTTATGCAATGAATTTCAAATTGTTTCATTAAAACATTAATGCTACAGCTTTTATAGATACAAACTACTAAAACGAAAATTAATACTTTTTAAAGTGCAGTTAAGCTCTTTTCTTTGAAAGTTTTCATTTTGAATTATTCAAGTTTCCCATTTTTGTCTTTATTAGGGCTCACACCACATTAGAAACAATACATAATAAATCAACCTTCCCATCAATAAACAGTTAATTGAGAGAACACACACTGAATCAGAAAAGAGTGACATTTCTTTCTACAGCATTCCTTTAAAATCAATTCAGATAAATTAATTAAACACCGCAAATGTAATTTTATGATACGGTTAACATGTGTAAAATAATTAGAGTTTGAGCCATTAATAAAAATTTCCTCAGATTATCTCAACTTCACTTTTGGTTTCACAGGAGTTCATCAAATGCATCTCATCAAAAGTTTTTTTTCAATATCATGCTTGTTGTCATACAACAAAACTCAAATGAGTAAAGTTAAGTCTGTTTGACCAGACAAGCATAATGTGTATTAATAATAATATTTAACCACAGATCACAAAAACAGCTTGAATGTTTTTGTACTGTAGTTTCTTAAAAATCATCCATGTTCACATTAAAATCTTAAATGATGCTTGGTAGGAAAAGTTTTTAACGTATCTGTGATTCGTATTTGTTTTAGAAAATTCTACTATGAACTGTTTGTGAATTAGAACTCCTCACGATACATCAAGATTAGAAAAGTTACTGTACATATTGCGATATCCAAGCTTGATGACAATACATTCAGCTGATAGTGTGAGACACACATAAGAAGAGGACAAGACGGATATTAAAAAATACACAACTTGGAAATATTCATAAATATTAAGAAAAAGATCTGTGCCGAGACCACTCTCACTGAATATATGAATAATTTAAAAAAGCACTGTAAGGAAAAAGTGAGGAGGAAGATTGTTTCTCCCTTTTACATTTCATTTTTGAAATCAGATCTAAATCAGTAGTAGACTTTTTTCGGCACAATCACATCAAAGTCTTAACGCTGATCACCACAAGTGTTTAGGATCGAGATTTCACATTTATTCTGAATGTATCTGATTCAGTTTGACTGCATTCTTGACATTTTAACTCTTTTATTGATATTTAGATTTTTTTACCTGATTTTGTGACTGTTTAAAAAAAAAAAAACTGTGGCTCTTTGATTTACCAACTTACATTCACTTTGAAAATTCAAACATGGAACCTAAAATATTAGCATGTTGCTGTTCAGTAGCATCAGTACAGCACTGGTGACCACTGTGAAAAACCCTCGATATCCCATCTCCAGTCCCTTCGCCCCTCCTGTTTCTCTCTTCAAGTACTTTTCAGAGTAAACCATGTACAGCTCCAAACACCTGCGGGCCTTCAGCTGCTCGATCAGTGCCGGGTAACCTATCTCCATGATGCTGACTGTGTCGTCGTCCTCACTGACGGCCTGTGAAGCTGGAGGCCCAGGACGGGCTTCAGGCTGATTAGGAGCGTGGGGAGTTGAAGGTGAGGGAGTGGGGGAGTTTTCTGCTGCGCTGCTGTTGGTGTCTGTCGTGTTGTTATCTGTGACAGTGTCTGGTGCTGCCGTGACGACAGCAGGTGTAGCTGTGGTGGTTGTGGCAGCTGGGTTGAGTTTTGGCTTTTGATTCTTAACCGGCAGAAGGTCTGTTCTCTTCATGCACGAGTCCATGAAGCTGTCGTAGGTCTCAGGGGTTTTGCTGTACCTGTAGTCTCGGCCATAGTCATCGGTATCAGTAGACCTGACACCATATTTCCTGTACATGTAGTGGTTGTAGTAGTACTCCTCCTGGGAGCTGTGGAAGGGGAAGTGAGGACGAGGGAACCTCCCCAGCCCGTAGCCCAGGGCCATTCCTGCCATGGCACCTCCAGCTGCTGCCATCACTGCGCTGCGCCCAAACCCTCTGGATCTATCTTGGGGATAAACACCCATTGCCTGAACTGAGTGGGAGAAGGGAGAGCCACCTCTCACGCCATGGCCCCCGTATCCAAAGCTGCCTCCATAGTGAGGGCTCAGGATTTTGTTGTTTGGGTTTTGGTTGATATATCCACCTGGATATCCTCCGTAACCTCCATAACCTCTTCCATATGGGGAGCCATGTGCTGGATACCCCACTCCACCCTGCTGCCGAGGGTAACTTCCTGGATATGCAGGTCTGCCTGACTGCGGAGGGTAGCCTCCTTGATTGTTGTGTCCAGACTGTTTGGGGTATCCACCCCTAGAGCTGGAGCCCTGATTATTTTTACTGCCTGTATTAGTGTTGCCACGGTTCCATGTTGGGAATTTCTTGGAGCTGAAGCCTTTCCCAAAGCTGCCACCTCCTCTCTTAGCCAGTGATGAATGGGTGTGAAACAAAATAAGTGACAGACACAGCACAGGTAATGAATAAAGCTTCATCTTCACCCTGCAAGAAGAGTCAGGGAGGGAAAAAGGAAAATTAGATGGGTGAGGAAAATATGTCATTATACTTTATCATTTTTACAAAGTTTTTGCAAGAGCGGTCTGCCTTTTGGAGTTGCAGCTCAAACATTAATCAACATTCACCTTTTATAAATTACCCTGAGCTGATAATACTGGGAACATAGGATCAACTTTACTATTTCTGTTATTATATTGTGTGAGCCAGGTCCTCTGTTCACCTGTTTATTGAATACAGTGGAAACAATATACCATGGCACCATATTCATTAGATTTTTGTCAAATATGTTTTTGAACCACGTAGTCCTGCTCACCTCGTTCACCACACGGTTTAAACCCAGAGTTGTGGTTCTAAAATGGGGCCCGAGATAAGCTTGAAATAACAAAGTGTACCCTGGACGATGAGGATTTCACAACTATTTGAATCATTGTAATCACAAATAATAGATATGATGAATAAATAGTTTCATCGTCAATTAATACGATTATCT